CCAGTGTCAAAACAAGATACCAACAGAGTAAGCTCTCAGTCAAGGTTTCATGTATCCCAGTCTATTCCAGTTAAGCATGGTTCAATGGCCATTTCAGTAATAAAACCTGATTTAGTAACATCAATATGCAAAGAATTAATTTTAGCAGCTTTCTTTCATGCAAAACTTTGCCGATCACATAACATTGTCCAAAATTGGAGTCGTAAATAAGATATCAGTCAGGTAATGATAAATTTTATGCTTTTCCATCAAAGCCTATTTCTAGTACGCAACACATCTTAAAAACGCACTCAACTATTTGCTAAATTATAATGGTTTATAATGTGTTCATATAATATCCTAGACTTCAAAATAATTAAAGGATTCTGCACAGATCAAAGACAACAAGATGTTCTGCGTCTTCCAACAACAACAATAACGGAGCTAAATGCTGCAGATTGCCGAGTGGAGATGAATTACTAATTCGAAAAAAAAGCGTTCCAACGCAAACATTTGTTGAACGCACCAAGTTTCCTTCTGATTGTTTCCGACATTAAACATCATTTGACAAGGAAAGAGCAACCAGAAAAGAAAAAAAATTAGTAAACCTTTCTATGACGAAAGAACCGGCTTGGCGGAAGTATGCCACCGAGACACAAACATCCGACGCAAGGGACTAAAAGCAAATGCAAGCCAGATTTAAGAAATCTTTACAGATCCACCCAAAACGAGAATTCATTCTTTCCAAATGACGAAAAGACGAATTACTAACTAACCTTCCGTTGTCCTGAAGCCCCATCTGTGATCTGATTGAGAAAGCCGAATTCGCGAGCCGACTTTTCTGAAGAGCCGCCTCCACCAGGAGAATGGGACTGCAAATTAAGCGGTGGTAGTGATGAAGCAAAAGAGGGAGTAGTAGACGAAAATGAACATGGGTTTTCATGTTTGAAAGAGATCGAGCTGGCCCGCCTAACAATGGAACGCGCTGATGTGGGAACAATGAATCTAGTGGAATCGAATCGAATCTTTCGACTAAGAAAAGAAATATGAGGGCTCAGATTAATTTGGGAGAAGCAGAAGAAGAAGAGGATATAAGCCTCTCCATGGCTTCAAAAGTTGGCAAGAAGTGGAAGATTGAGATGAAGAGGAGAGGAGGAAGAGGAACTCTTGGATAAGCTCCGGTCCAGAAAGTCATCGAAAGTTAAAGTATTTTAACTTATTTCTTGGCCAAACACCAACTAAAAATCCGAACATTTTGCCGTGCGAGAAAACAGAAAACCCTCCGTCGACCTAAAACACAATAACGTAAACTAAAGGTTTGAATCGGGGAGAGATCCGTCTGACCACCAACCAGAAGGCGAATTCTAATTAACCGTCGTAACCAACCAGTATAATCTCAAAAATACCGGATGCGAAAAAGGGAAGGGGGACGAAAAAAAGGAGAGCAAATACTACCAATATACCCACATACCACAAATTTCTTAATTAACTTCAAATTTGTTAATGGCAAAGGAAAACTTCAAATTCGAATGTAAACGTTTTTTTTTTTGTAAACAAGTTCCTCACCATTATTATTGTACGATTGTGAAAAGTCATTTTCTATTTTCTACCAATGCTCCTGCTTTATTGTGATTATGCAAATTTTTCCGAAGAAGGCTGAGTTTTTTGGTGGTCAACAAATGGCCAATATTTACAAAATTGAGTGTATGCGAGAAAAGAATGTGAGATTTGATGCCGACCAGGACCAAAGGGTCGGGCTGGAGTGATTTGACTGGCCCTTTGGCTTTTGGTAAGAGCTATGAGTATGAGGCTGCCAACCAAAGTGTAATTAGAATCAGTGGCCATTATCGTACATGGGAGTGAATCTCAGGGGCTTTTGTTTTTGTTTTTCGATGGAAGAGTGAATACAAGTTGCTTGTTAATTTAATGACACAGGCCAATTCCAAGTTTGGAGCTTTCTGGCTTCCTGCTCTTTATGGGGTTAAAGAGACGTGCGTGCTGCAATAATAGGATGGGAGATTAGTCCAAGGGCAACCTCTCTTTCAAATATTAACACATTTTCATACCCATGAGTGGTTGAGATTGTAGGCCATGTGTATGATTCGTTGCCTGAGAATCCGTTTACATTCTTTGACCTCAGAATAATGAAAAATGAGATATGTTTGGTTTATAAAGATGAGTAAGTTATTTTTTCAAAAAGGGAAAATTGGCTTGAAAATCAAATAAACCGAGCAAGCTGCATGTTACAGGAACGAGTGCGAGGCTCCATCACAGCAACTTTATGCTTAAAATTAAAATTAAAACTAACATCACTAGTTGTCATCGACATAAAGAGGGCAATGATCTGGAGATAAGGCAGCTTCTTTTTTAGTTTTTTTAAAAGAAAAGTAGATTAGAATGAATGGTGGGAAGAAAAGAAGATGGAGCGTGCTGATTTGGAGAGGTGGCGTGTGCTGATAGGGCCACCTCATATTTTATGTTTGGATCAAATCGAGATTGCAGCCAAACAGGACGTGCCCACCGCACCAGCCCCCATGCACTTGGCTTGCACTTTCGTGTGTCTGCCACACGCTCTTTGATCTTTTCCCTCTCGATAGTGACATCCCATTTCCCCACTCCTGCTTTTTATCTTGTCTTGTTGGATTCCAAATTCGTAGTTTAATGATTAAAAACGTCAAAGATTATGAATAGTCCATAATTTAGAAAAGAAAAATAGGGAAAACCATATTGGAGGTACCTATACTTTCTCTCAATTTTAATTTGATACCTATGTTTTTTTTCCTTTAATTAAACATTTAATTTTATCTTTTTAGCAACATTAGCTCTTATAATTTTGTTCTATTGATATTTTTAGTGTCTACATAAGGATTAATGATGTTACTATAGCAAAATTAAAGATTTAGTTAAGAACAAAAAACACATAGGTACCAAATTGAAAATTGAGAGAAAGTATAAGTACCTCCAATATGGTTTTCTCAAGAAAAATATACTAAAAGAAAACACAATCATAAAGATCCAAATTTTACGACCAATAACTTCATGGTTGGAAGGATAGTTGGAGCAATTCTCTTTTTTTTCTCTAAAAAAGTTTCAAGTGATTTTTCAAAATAGTTATAACATAAATAAAAAAGATGTTTTAATTCATTCACCTTTTTCTAAAAGAAATATAAGCTCGTTATTTTAATTTGTGATTTTTTTTTCATGTTTTTTTCCTCTTATGCACATGCATCTTTTTATTAAAGAAAATCCTATCTAGACACTGTTATGCACTAACTATGAACGCTTCTTTGAATATGGATTTAAATTTTGATTAGTCATATGAGCGACAAGTAATTTTTACTAAACCCAATTCTCATTGATGATTTTTTTTCATGTTGATATTGACAGCCCAACACCTTGATTAGTTGGGCTAACTTATATTTGGTAACTTAACATGGGAGCCCAACAACTCAACTTGACTTGATGAATTGGGCTAACTTGGAAGCCCGACAACTCAACTTCACTTTTTCCCCTTTGTGGCCCAACTTAAGTACACACAAAAAAACAGCGGATGATCCATGACTCTCCGAACCTTAAAATATAAACACCCACATAGGGTTAAGGTGCATTCAGCACCCCCAAGTATTTTGTCAGTGCATCCAATGGTCTAAAGTAATTTATGGTGCAATTTTGCTATCAAAGTAATTAAAATGGTACACCGGTATCCCATACTAACAGATCTGTTACTTTGACCGTTAAATTGATGAGTCAGCACAAGTTTAACCAAAATAATCTGACCTGGCATGTCTAATAAGCAGGTGATGTGGAGTTTTTTCGGGGTTAAGGTGCATCCAGCACCCCCAAGTATTTTTTAGGTGCACCCAGTGGCCTAAAGTAATTTATGATGCAATTTTGCCCTCAAGTAATTAAAATGGTGCACCGGTACCCTATGCTAACAGATCTGTTACTGTGAAATTGATGAGTTAGCACAAGTTTAACCAAAATAATCTGACCTGGCATGTCTAATAAGCAGGTGATGTGGAATTTTTTTCGTCTGCCACTGCTTTGTTTTCTCTGTTTAGTAAATGCTCTCTTTGGCTCTTGGAATTTTTTTCAGAGTAAGAAATTTTTTCAGAGATACTCCTCTGGTCCTATTTATAGGGTAGAGAGAGAAAATATTTTGTGGTCCTATTTATAAGGCACTGAAAGAAATTTTTTGTATGGATATACAAATTTACCCCTCATTTATTATTGTATTGACTTTGTTTATATGAGATATAATGTATATTAAATAGGGATAATGTTGGAAAGTTATTAAATTTAAATGAAAGTTAATGAAATTTAAGGTTTTCCTTGATCTGTGTGAAACATGCTGGAAGTGCCTTATAAATAGGACATGCCAGGTCAGATTATTTTGGTCAAACTTGTGCTGACTCATCAATTTCACAATCAAAGTAACAGATCTGTTAGCATAGAATACTGGTGCACCATTTTAATTACTTTGAGAGCAAAATTGCACCATAAATTACTTTAGGCCACTGGGTGCACTTGGGAAAATACTTGGGGGTGATGGATGCACCTTAACCTCGAAAAAAATTCCACATCACCTACTTATTAGACATGTCAGGTCAGATTATTTTGGTCAAACTTGTGCTAACTCATCAATTTAACGGTCAAAGTAACAGATTTGTTAGCATGGGATACTGGTGCACCATTTTAATTACTTTAAGAGTAAAATTGCACCATAAATTATTTTAGGCCATTGGGTGCACCTGGCAAAATACTTAGAGGTGTTGGGTGCACCTTAACCCCACCCACATACGTTAATACGTTATCCATTGTGTTTGTACCAACGAGAGGCTGAAACAGTTGGTGCATTGCTTCCATCCATATCTGCCTCTCGTCAACTTCCTTTATCTGTTAAGGCTAAAATCCCATAGGCAACCACGCTGCTACACCAGCCTATACTCAACAAGACTAATCTCAATAATTCATTAATCCTCCACATGGACCCATCTTATTGGCCTAGCATAAAACGTTTTGTTCCTGCCCTTCACACGAGATCACCAAACTCATTAACTGAAATTTCATTTCGCTGTTGTCTCGCTCACTCTCCACCTCTGAATTCTTTTGCTGCTCCTCTTCATGGCCAAGCCGGTGTCCATCGAAGTTTGGAACCCAAATGGCAAATACAGAGTCGTTAGCACCAAATCCATGCCCGGAACTCGTTGGATCAACCTCCTGATCCAGCAAGATTGTCGTGTTGAAGTAATTGTCTTCCTTTGATCCTTTTCTGCTATTTTGCTTCTCTTTCTTGAGATGCTTTTAGTGTTTTTCCTTTGTGCAAATGACTCCAAGTTTCTCTCGTTCGTGCTCAGATATGTACCCAGAAGAAAACTATTCTGTCTGTCGAAGATATCATTGCCTTAATTGGTGATAAGTGTGATGGGGTTATTGGCCAGGTAATAACAATACAAGGGGTCATACCAGAAATGAGAAAAGTTCGAGAATTTCAATCTTTCTGGTGTTCTAGGCTCTTTGATTTTGTTTTCTGTGTTCCCTTGTTTTGTTTTAAAATGAGTTCGTGCTACAGCTGACAGAAGACTGGGGAGAAGAGTTGTTTTCCGCATTGAGCAGAGCGGGAGGCAAAGCTTTCAGTAACATGGCAGTTGGTTATAACAATGTTGATGTCAAAGCTGCAAACAAGTACGGTGTTGCTGTTGGAAATACTCCTGTAAGTCATCTTTCCCCTCACTGCATTATGTCAAACCTTAATAAATGCAATCAATTTGTCTTGTTGCAAAAATTAGCATTTATGTAGGTTTGTTGAATGGCAGATACGAGATATTTCTTCTCTATATAAAACGATAGATAAGTTATTGCGCAATTACTGGCCAAAAAAAAAAAAAAATCAATTGGGCGGTAATCATTCACCATTTCAAACTAATGGCCGGGGGGGGGGGGAACCTCGACATGAAAACTTAACCGTAGGTGTCCATAAAGGCATAAATAGCTTTTATTACATTCTCTAACATGATTCCAACAAAAGATTGAGAGAAATACTGATTTTAAGTTCTGAAATTCATTTTGTTGCTCATTTCGTAGGGAGTGCTGACAGAGACAACAGCAGAGTTGGCAGCTTCACTTTCTTTAGCAGCTGCTAGAAGGATCGTTGAGGCAGATGAGTTCATGAGGGCTGGATTATACGATGGATGGCTTCCTCATTTGTAAGAATATAAATATAAAAATATATATTTTACTTCTTTGCTCATCTTTTATGCGCTGAAATAAGTTACATACTCCTGTAATGGCTGGAATAAGTTCTTTACTTCTCCCATAGATTTGTTGGAAACTTGCTCAAAGGACAGACTGTTGGTGTTATTGGAGCTGGTCGTATTGGATCGGCTTATGCGAGAATGATGGTAATCTTCCATTAAATCAAATATTGAAGACTTTAAGTGCCTCTGAGCTTATTTGACTGAGTTGCATGTGTTGAAAGCTGTACTTATTTTGGTCAATAGCTGAATGCTATATTTGTCAAACTGGTAGTTTGCTGAGAACTGACTAGTCTACAAGGGTAATGTCAAGTTCGGTCACAGACTTGATTTCAATTTGACTCTGATTCTGCATTAATCTAGTTTAAATAACATTTTGCCCCGTAGATGACAGGAAAAAACTTTTGTTCTGCTGTTTTAGGTTGAAGGGTTTAAGATGAACTTAATTTACTATGATCTGTACCAAGCCACCCGCCTAGAGAAGTTTGTCACAGGCATGCTCTTGACTTGACTTATTAACCGATACAAAACTCTGTCAGCTGATGGCTTGCGTTTTCACCATTGCAGCTTATGGTGAATTCCTGAAAGCAAGTGGTGAAAAACCAGTAACTTGGAAAAGGGCAGCATCCATGGAAGAGGTGCTTGTGCAGGCAGACGTTGTAAGAAATCTGTGCCAAGAATTAATTCGAAACTTACTTGTCTTTTCTGATTGTTTCAAATCAAATGGGCTTTTGCCGGTGCATATTGTAGATTAGTCTCCATCCTATCTTGGACAAAACCACCTATCATTTGGTCAACAAGGAAAGTCTTGCAAAGATGAAGAAGGTAAAATTTGAAGAGTGCTTAGTTATTAACGGCCTAAAGTGATGTAAAATGTGGCAATGATGCTATTCCAATCACAGGAAGCAATTCTAATCAACTGCAGTAGAGGGCCAGTTATTGACGAAGTTGCTCTTGTAGAGCATTTGAGAGAGAATCCAATGTTTCGAGTAGGCCTTGATGTGTTTGAGGTAATGTTAACTTTTGTGTCTTACAATAAGCATAATTTCTAATCCATCTCTTGACAATTAAAAAGAATTAACTGTCATCAGGATGAGCCCTACATGAAACCTGGGCTTGCAGAAATGAAGAATGCCATTGTGGTACCCCATATCGCGTCTGCTTCCAAGGTAATACCTTTCCCTTATATTGTGCCAAAGACTTACGATATGTTATATCTACTCTTTCAAGGATGACAAGTTCTAAGAGTCATCAAAATTACTTCGTCTTTGTTTGCAGTGGACCCGAGAGGGAATGGCGACACTGGCTGCTCTGAATGTTCTGGTATGTCTCGTTATCTGAGGCTAGATCTTTGGCTGTTGGAAAATATTTACACAGTATCGAATTGTTTATTAAGTAGTTTTAACAAATAGTGATTTTAAATATTAAAAGACGAAATATGAAACTTGAGCAGAAAACAGCACATCACTGTGCTGCTATTGTTGATTTCTAGCAGCAGTGGATCCTCTTCCCTTGTCATCCAGGATTTGTTTCTCTTTTTGGTACAAATGGCTGTACAAAAATTTAAACTTACTTCTTCGCAAATGATCCCAAACCCTTTTGCATGTAAGTGATTCATGCGTGGAAAGAAACTGATGTTTGTTAAAATTTCAGGGGAAAATTAAAGGCTATCCAGTCTGGTCTGATCCAAACAGGGTGGAACCTTTCCTCAATGAGAATGCTCCTCCTCCAGCTGCATGTCCTAGCATTGTTAATGCCAAAGCCCTGAGTATGATATCATAGCACTTGGAGCTAAATATTTTTGAACCTCTTGTTGAGGACAATAAACTTTATGGTTTCTTTCTCTATCAATGCAGGTTTGCCAGTTTCAAAGCTGTAAGATGCACGCATGCCGTTGATCCTGCGAGGGCCTTCAAGAGCAAAAAGTGAACAAAATTTTGTATGTTGAGTTGGGCTCGGGGTAACATGATCGAAATAATTACCTTAGGAGAGCTCTGGCATGTGTCTCTACTTTATGTTTGACTGATGACAGTCTATGTACAACTTCTGTTTTATAATACTGGCTTCATCTGCTTGTTATATTATTTTCAAGGATTAAGCATGAATGAAGTTATGACTTGGGGAATATAGTAAAAAAATATAAAAGAAAGAAAAACAGGTATCTTTTCCTTCAGACATGAGACATATCATTTCAGTAGTACACTACAGAGTGTCTGCTTTCGTGCTTATGTAGGAGAGATTTGCAAATGGAAGACACGAAGGAGCCGTTTGGATAAGGGTTTTTCAAAGGTTTCTTCGGGGAATTTTAGTTAGGAAGGTAATATATGCTACGTTTGGAAAGTCTTTCACCGAAATTTTCTGAAAGTTGTAATTTCCTTTGAGTAAAATAAAAAGTGATTTTGAGAATGAAAAAACAGTTCTTGCATTTTGACGTGAAAAGAATAAAAGAATTTACGTGGTCATGAAATGATTACCAGAACAAAGTAGATTCTTAACCAAACTGAGAATGAAGACATGGAAACTATTATACCAAGAAAGAAGAAGCCACATTTTCTGACGGCGTACATGATCATAAATCATAAAATCATTTGTCATTGAGGCCTGCGCAGCCAGAGGGGGAACTTGTGGTGTGGAGCGAATAGCCACTGATGAATGAATTTTATGGACCAAACTTCATTTGATTGTGGGTCCATATATGGTTTTTAAACCTTCGACATGCTGCTTCTGCGCTCTACAGTCTACATGCAACAAAGGTGAACCTGTCTCTCGTACCATGTTGTCTAAATCCCCGTACTATGTGTTACCTGTGTGGTGATGCAGGCAATGGAGTCAAACGGTGAATTCTAAAACTCCCAACGAAAATGTTTTCTTCGATGACGTGGAAGATCGTCAAGAAAGTGATAGACTCCGGAGCAATCATGGCGGTGTGGAGCAAAGAAGAAGGGCCTTTTTTGAGGGCAATACTCAAGAAAACAGTTAATCATATGTGTATTCAAAGCACTGTACTTTTACCGGAGCACTTAACCGGAGCCAGAGAGGAGGAATGAATGTCGGGCACCAAAATCTGAGCAGCGGTTGCAATCATGGATCCAAAAAGACAAGGTTATATGATTGACGGTTTAATCTGAAGCTCCGGACTGGCTTTGCTGCGGTGATTTTACAGTTTACGGGGGGTAAAATATGGGAGTAACTTTGTTTTGATTTAAGTAAACGTGCTCATTATAAACAATTCCAAACAAGGGAGCGCGAGAGAAGGATGAGATGGTGAGGGAAGGAGGAAAAAAAGCAAGTTAAATTCCAAGGATCTTCTTGTAATTTAGTCGCGTTTTTTGGACTTAATCCAACCAGCATTGATGTAATGAATATTTTTGCTGTGTTTAGTCTCATCGAAATTCCTATTAGGAGGATATTGAGATTGGATGAAATGCTCGTCTGGTACTATTTATTTATAGCACAAAAAGAAAAGATATTTTTATCCTATTTACAGGGTATTAAGAGAAATCTTTTATATGGATATATAATTCTAACCTTCATTTATTATTATATTAACTTTATTAATATGAGGTATAATGTATATTAAATTAAATAGAAATGAAGTTAAAAAATTGTTAAATTTTAAATAAAAATTAATAAAATTTCAAAATCTTTTTAATGTGAAGTATGTTGAAAATGAGCAGAGAAGTAAAAGAAAAAGGGAGGGGAGGTAAGGAGGGCAGCTGAATTGGCCAAAAGATGAGAGGACCGTTGGCTTTATCGTCAATTTTGAAAAAGCAAAAGCTATGCCTTTTCAGCAGCACGTCTTTCTATCTCTTCCACCTTATCCCAACTACCCTTTCCTTTCTTCGTTTTTCTGCAACGTCCCCCACTCAAGGGTCCCATCTTAGGGCACTGAGTTCCTTTCCGCTAAAAAAGAAGTCGTACAAGTTTAATTTACAGGCTGGAGTCATTTTACCCGCCCTTGGCTTCTCAAAGCTCACTTCACTCGCATGGCCATATATCTTCATGTTAGAAAAACGAGTCCCTTGAGGCCTTGATCACATACTCATATACTTAATTAACTCATGTATGCCGTCTACAACCTTAATCAATAAATTGATTTGGACATTTAAATTAGGTTCAGACAAAGACAAATACATGTATCATGCATTTCAGCTTCTCCATCATACTATTGGTCAAAATGGCATGCATATGAGTGTATCTCCATATCATTCATTGTTTTGTTCTAAAGCATATCAACGTGTGACCGTAAAAAGTTACTGAATGTTAAAAAAATATTCATCCTTTTCTGTCCCATTTTATTTTGAATAAGAACAGACATTTACAACGCATCTCTTCGCCCAATCCAGGTCAGCTTGAACCCCTCAGATAATGTATTATATGCTACTTGATTACTTACTTGGATTTTGGTTGATTAAAGGTGGAAGGAATCGCCAAAAGTTTGATGAAAATCACTCCCTCTAAAGAAAGTCATAAAAAAGAGTTCCCCATTATTACCGCATAGCTTTGCGCTCAAGGAACAATAACAGATAATTATGGAATCATGCCATCATTGTTGAGCCACCTATCACTCACTTGTTACATGTATTTTTTTTTCTTTTTAGGAATCTAACAACTATATTAATCTAAACATGATGTACAAATGGTTACTGTACAAATTTATCTCCAAAATTTTTATTCAGGAGCACTAATTACTCAAACAAATTTAAAATATAAATTTCTCTCGAAAATTCGTAATCGTAATAATATTATTTCTTATCGTTAAAAATTTTAATTGTCAATATCATTTGTTTTTAACGCTGGCTTTTTAGATACCCCTAAAAGAGGACTGTTTTCGTGATATCCGTGGATGACGTGGTTGGGTCCACCCATGACAGCCTTTGTTTTACTGGACGGAGTCGTGAGGTAGATAAGTGGCTCCATTAGTGGTTCAGTAATGAGTACTCAACGGTCATCCTGCCTCGAAATCACGCAGCTTTTTTACACCCTTTTAACCAAACAGTAAAAACACAGTGTTACCGTCGTTCACGTTACTGATAGTAAAGACGACAAGCTGCCTGGGAGAGATGGATAAGAAGAAGAGGGCACCGTAGAGACAAGACAAGAAATGACCGTTGCAAGGCGTGCCGGCGTGGCACTATTGTGGTTTCCAGCCTGACATGATGAGCCTTCTCTCTCTCCCCCTCCCCACCAGTTCACATGGTCTTGCTGTTCATGCGGGTCCCACCCCTCTCCTCCAACCGCTGTCACTGGCTATTTTCTTTTATTCCAAAGTTGCCCCTGTCTCGCTCCCATTAACCCCAGCCCTTTTTTTTTGGCCCTTTTCTCTTTCTCCTTTAAAAACACCCTCCGTCCTCTCACCTTCACTCCTCACTGTTATTGACACCCCCAAACGCGGTTTCTTTCTTGCTATCCCGGTCAGTTCTCCAGAGAGATGTCGAAGGAAGTGAGCGAAGAAGGCCAAGCCCACCATGGCAAAGACTACGTGGACCCCCCGCCGGCTCCTCTCCTCGATACGGCCGAGCTCAAGCTCTGGTCTTTCTACAGAGCCCTCATCGCCGAGTTCATTGCCACCCTTCTCTTCCTCTACATCACCGTTGCCACCGTCATTGGCCACAAAAAGCAAACCGGCCCCTGCGACGGCGTTGGCCTCCTGGGCATCGCTTGGGCCTTCGGTGGCATGATCTTCGTCCTCGTCTACTGCACTGCCGGTATCTCTGGTATGTTCAACCCCATCTCACAATTTCCGCACCATCTAATGTACTATGGCGGCCTCTGAAGCGGTTTGTCTTGTCGTGTTTTGTTGCGTTTGCGTAGGTGGCCACATCAATCCGGCGGTGACGTTTGGGTTGTTCTTGGCGAGGAAGGTGTCACTCATCCGAGCTTTGGCGTATATGGTGGCTCAGTGCCTGGGTGCAATTTGCGGCACTGGGTTGGTTAAGGCGTTCATGAAGCACTCGTACAACTCACTGGGTGGAGGGGCTAACCAAGTGAGCTCTGGCTACAGCAAAGGCACAGCTCTGGGCGCTGAGATTATCGGCACCTTCGTTCTGGTGTACACCGTTTTCTCCGCCACTGACCCCAAGAGAAGCGCCCGTGACTCTCACGTTCCTGTATGTTAATAATACTTCACTGTACACAGAACCAGTCAGTCTAGTAGTGATGATGTAACTTATTTCGTACGTACGTTTTTGGTGCTGTATGTGAGTTGATTATTAAATGTCGTTGCAGGTTTTGGCTCCATTGCCAATTGGATTTGCTGTTTTCATGGTTCACCTGGCCACCATTCCGATCACTGGCACAGGGATAAACCCTGCCAGGAGCTTCGGTGCTGCTGTTATCTACAACAACGGCAAAGCTTGGGACGACCACGTATGGTTTTTCTGTTGAACTTTAATGTAATTAACTTGTGTGTGAGGATTAAGTAATTAATTGTTGACGGGTTGGATGCAGTGGATCTTCTGGGTTGGCCCATTTGTGGGAGCATTGGCGGCGGCAGCGTATCACCAGTATATTCTGAGAGCAGCGGCCATCAAGGCATTGGGATCGTTCCGAAGCAACCCCTCCAACTAAATTAATGGCAGAAAATTATTGAAGAGAGAGAGCTGTGAATGCATTAATTAATCATTTATTCGTTTATGTGTGGATCAGATGTGATTATGACTTTTAATTTGTTTATTCCCTTTTTTTTTTTTTGCCAGTCTACTGCTGCTAGCTTGTAAGTGGTACTTAATCCATGAGTAGTGTGACTCTGTCGTTTTTTCCATTTCTTGCTTATACATACCCCCTAATCTTCTCTCCGTAACAGTACAATACCTCAAATTTGAAATGAATTTGGAGATGAAAGGGAAATAGGGAGCTTCGAAGGCTTCCGCCAATTAGTTGCTCCCTATCGTTCGTTACAGTGGTTTTGTCGGATGAACTCCGTGCGTCTCTGTTGTGAGAACTAAACAGCAGGAAAATTGGTTTTGAGAATTATAATCAGATTGGGTCATTTAGAGCGTGTTTGGATTTGCAGTACTTATATATGTTTTACGTAAATTTTATGTAAATTGTGGCTTGTTTATTATGGGCTTGTTACAGATAGTGATGAAAAAAAATACTTTATTATTATTATTATTCTATTTTTAAATATAAGATCTATTTTAGTGTGTTACGTTACAAAATAGATTTTATATTTGGAAGGCAGAGGAGTATTATTATTGGGAAAAAACGAACTTGAAGATGGGTGACGAGACAACTTCATGTTCTTGGAAACATGACACAAGATATCAGGGACCGAAAATCGAAGCTGGCGGCCGGTGAAGGAGAATGGACACCGACGCCGTGAGCGTGCGAAGAGAGCGGAAGAAAGGGGTCAGACAAGGAGGGACTGCGGCCGTTCAACGAGTGTCGTTATTTGGAGGCCATGTTAATGTTTTTGGCCAGATGGGATCGTTGGATGATGGCTCAATATGAGATGTATATGACACGATTTAATTTATTAAATAAGAAAAATATAAGAAATTGAGCTTTCCACGAGTTAAAAAGTTTAAAAACTGAGTCATAGTTGAAAGATTATGTCAAAAATTATTTATAAACGTGTTTTATATAAGTTGAAACAATTTATCTCGTCTATTAATTACAAGTAAAAAATTATCTATAAATCATTCGAAATGGATCCAAAATGATGTCAAACTTCCCACTTGGACTTGTACCAGTCCAAGTCGACAGGAAATGTACAGCTATTAGATGGACCGCGCAACTTCATTAATTCCAGAAGCAATCGGCTGAAACGTTCTACAGAGCATCTACACTGGGCCTTGTCGGCAATCCTTTCACATTAATCGTAAGAATAGATGAAAGCAGCTGAATGAAAAATAGACTCCAAGTGGTACGGAGAACTAGCGAGTGATGTTACATTCTCAGAGGGATTAGTGATAATGCGCCAACACATTTGAGAGAGCTTTAAGAGATGGTATAGCACAGAATCACTCCACAAACTACCATAAACATTACACGAATAAAAAAGCAATAAAAATGTTTAGTCATGAATGTCGCCCCCTACATCCAGAACTGCGGGCGACCTTGACAAGTCTCACCGTCAAGCAGAGTAATTATTACCAGTATGTTAAACTTTTTACAACATTTCTCCCCGTTGTGAGCTTTGACTTGTCCAAAGCGCAACACAGCACCCACACAAGCATAAGACTCAGTCAGGCAAAGCAGTTCCTCGTTCCAGATTATTTTTGATCTCCAATGTGTATTTCCCAAATGCTCGTTCAATCTTCTTGTTGAAATGCTCATTCCGATCGTTAATCGAGTCAATATCTTTCTCTTCATGGAACTTTCTTCTCCGGCTAAATGAGTTGAGCTTCTCTTCCCTGTTCTTCAGTTCCTGTACCATCCGGTCAATCTTGTCCTCTGAAATTTTTGGCGCCTGCCATGAATGAAAACAAAAGTCATCACAAAGTACACAGTGTAAAGCAGGCTCGGTGAGAGTTGGTATGGTTCTAGCAGCAAACCTTTCCATATTGGAGACTCGAAGCATCACGGTAGAACTCTGGATCAGCTTCTTTCATTTTATTGTATTCTTCTAAATCCACCTCAATATTCTTGGTTCGCTTCTTGTATGCATTGTACAGTGTTTTCTGGTTAAAAACTGATCAAGAAGATGCATTAACTTCGTACCCATTAGAATCACTCTAAACCCATAGAAAGTGTTTTATGGACTTGTGCTTGAGTTAATAACAAGATAGAATAAGCAGCAGAACTTTCCTAAAAGCAACATGCAATTTGCCAACGTGATACCCTCAATGCAAACAGCTATAGTTAATTTTCATCCACCAAAATAAATAAATAAATTACATACAGGCATAATTTCAAAGAAGAGAAAATAATTACTAGTAATGGACCAAAAACCCATCGAGTTGTGGGGCCATAAATAAGTCCACGTTAAAAAACAATCTGAAATCAATCGATTCACTATGAATCAGATTTTCAGTTAGTTTGAAGTTATTCACTAAACCAAACCATGCCTATTGAAAGGTTGGTTCACATTGGTTTAGTAGGGCCAAGTCAAATCTTTTCTCTCCCTAGATTTCTGCCCAATGAAATGAAGTTCTAATTAATCTAAGCCCATCAAAAAATAATTTTTTTCTTACACTTTTAGGCCCAAAACTTTAAAAGCTTTAAGACAAAATAACAAAAAGATCGACAAAAAAGTGCTCCTCTCTTGGAGCTCAATGTGACGAGTTTTAAATCAAATTTTAACACTCAAAAGTCACACGAGGTCCTGACCTTTTTATAATTCAGGCCAGGCCCCTACAATCAGGGGTAGGGTGCTACGCACCTCTCACTTCAACCTCAAGAAACAATGGAAGTCTAGCGCCAAAGAAGCATTTTACCATTAGAAATAAGTAGTAAGTAACAAGGCATACAAACATCTTAGAGGAATGAACACAGTCATCAACGGGGACAACATACCAATTATGCCAACTTATTTTTTTGGAAAAGAACAAAACATACCATCCCAGCCAAATGGAGCAGGATCCTTCTCCCATTTCTTGTACTTTTCTTCCGCTGACTCTTGTGTGTCAAGCATATATGCTTTAGTCATATCCAGACCATTTGCATCTAGAAGTTTTCCCATTTGTTTCTTCCTGTCCTCAAGCCACTTCTGTTTAGAAATACCCCGAGATTCTGCTGGAGCTTCCATCCTTTTTTTTTCAGCAGCAATTTCAATTTGATTACGTTTTTTTGCTTCTTGCTGCCAGTGAAAGAAAACAAGAATATTAATTTTGTCTAGACTAAAAAGAGTTCTGAGCTCAACATTTCAAACAGTTACCATCTGTCCTCAATTCCATCCACTTTTTCTGTCTCTTAGAAAGTTTCGCGTATTCTTGTTCAAAGTTTTCTGCTGCAGGATGTTCATCTTCACTAGCAGACTGCTCTTCATCAAGATAGGGTTTTTCATCATCTATGCACTCAGCAGGATACATGTCACCTGGGGGGCCTTGCTTACTGTCGCCACTTGCTGGTATGACTTCTAATAGACGTAAAAAATGAAGGAAATATTACAGAAGTTAAGTTCAATATGATTGATACAAATATAAAATATCATCAATACAGTCGCGCAATCTTAAGTGCAAATCTGAAAATCGAAATCAACATTTTTAGGGATTCTTTCTAGCAAACTTAATTACAACGCCCTCCTGTGGAAAGACTGTTCTAATCAGAAGGCAAGCTTCTGCAAGAGAGTCTATGAAAGCCTTATTTATTTATACGACCATGTAATTTAGGCAATCAATAAGAGCCCAAGAACATAAACTCGCCACTGGAGAACAATATATCCTACATTTTATGCAAGCAAACTATTACCTCGGTCTGTCAAATGCAATCGATACAGAAGGCCATAATTATTGAGGCAAGACTAACCTGGTTCCTTTTGTTGCATCTTTGTTTTGGCTTCAGCTATCACTTTAAAGCAATAATCACTACACTCATGGAAAGGATTACTGGCATTTCGGCAATCCGGGTGTACCGCTCGTTCTTCAGACATTTTCTAAGCAAAAAGTACTATCTCCTATAGACCAGTTGCAGATAACCCTACACGATCAAAAAAATGCAGAGATTCTAACATTAAAACAAAATATTTCATGCTCAACATTCTTTTCGAACATAAAAGCACTCGCAGAACTTCGAATCGGAAGAGCTATAATTACCCCTTTATTTATTGTCGCCGCGACCTAATCGTCTCAACACATGAGCCGAGGAATAAAACTGAGCAAAAACTCGTATCTAGCGAGATCGGGTTTATTGAGGCGGAAATGATATACTCTCACGAAACCTAACGTTCTGTTTGGTTCAATGGAGGGGAGGGGATGGGAGGTTAATTAAAGGGAGGGGAGTAGAGGTGAGGGGAGGTTATGAGTGCTGTTTGGTTTGAGGGGAAAGGAGGGGAGGGAATGTTTCATGTTTGGTTCAGGAGGGAAGGGGAGGAGAACTAATTATAAGTTGACAAATATGTCCTGTTTTTTTAGTTAGATTTCTTTATTATTTTATTTAATATTTATATCAAAATTATTATTTTCTACTTTATGAATATTAAAAAACAAGCTACCCCACATATATAAAATATTTACATATCCATAAAATATATGCATATCATACAAAATATTTTTTATCATTATCAAATATACATATTATAAAGAATATATACTTTCATATTATATCAAGAAAAATAGAATAATCATGACAAAAATATTATATCATTATTATCAAATATTATTGCATAATTTTTGTGGTATAAATATGAATTCTTTAAAAAGTATCAATTTATTTAGAAATAAAACATAAATGAATATCATGTGTTCCACTTAAGCGAAAAATAAGTTGCATTATTAACATCAAAAAGCATAAAAAATCATCAAAGTGTTTAGCAGACTAAATATTTTCTAAGTCATTCATGACATCAAAATCACTAAACATTAAAAGTCCCTAAATAATCACCAAATTAAATATTTCATAAGTCAGTTTCCTAAGTCATTTATAATTTCCATAACCAAATCCTTCCGTCCAACAAAAGGGCATTCAGCAAATGTCCTTAGTAGCCCATCATTACTCATGAGAGCTTTATAGATCTTAGCAATATAGATTGTTGCGACGCCACATTCTTTAACCATATTCCATACTTGTTCGCCCGAAAATTGTGGAAGCTTTCTAACAGTGTCTCTCATTATTTGATTTGCATCTTTCATAGCTTGTGCAACTTCAGACATAACATCTTTTATCCCATCTAACTCAGAGTCTTTTTCTCTATTTGAATTCCCCTTTTGCTTCTTTTTAGATGAACCACTTGTAACTCCAATTGAGGTATCTTGATTGATACTATTATCAAGTGCTTCAAAATGCTCTATGTTGACATTATGTTGGGAAGCAATATTATCAGTGTTGTTGAATGTATCAATAAAATCATCCTCATTGATTGAGTGACGTCTCTTTCGCATTTCACCTGTAGTATGAGTTCCCTCCCCTGATGCTCTGTCATTTCCGTATAAAGTCACCATCTTATCATAGTTGGGAAAAGGAATATATCTCCAATTTGCAGCTTTAGGCTTTGACTACAAAGGAAAAAATTCAACCAGTAGTTAATATTAATGAATAAATTATAGACTTAGATGTTAATTAGAGTGCTCCACAACAAATGTTGAAATAAACTAACCTCAATAAGTTGATCCCAAACTTGATCTTCTGCCTCCCATAACTGGGTTGATGAGTTCCAAGCGAACCCACTTAATCCATTTTTAAAAATATCATAAATTTCAGAGAAGTTTTTTTTTAATGTTTTCCACCTGTTCTTAATCTTCTCTTTGTCTAATTCAACATTAAGCAAAGCACTCATCTCTTTCACAATATTCTCATATGCAGTGGTTGTGAAAGTACCATTTACTTTGTTGCCACAATTATATTGTTCCATGAAAGCATCAACAAGGTAGTCATCCATAGCTCTTGTCCAATTCAAACATTGCTTATTGTTATTTGATTTTGGTGGCATTCTATTACAAAAAGCAACAAAAACCATATGAGAAATATAAGTTATTGCAATTCATAAAACTTAAAAGCAACAAGTCTAAAACTCTAAATACGATATATATATATATATATATAAATGTCTAACTTTAAAACTACTACAATGCAAGCAGCAAGTTCGTTAAAGCATACTTAAAAACATTAAATATGAAATTTAAATAAACTTAAAATAGCAAGTTGTCAAAGCACAAACTTTAAATTGATCAGGGTACATAGCCACCACGTCTCATCAGCCTATTTTGATAATCAATCCACATCTCATTTGCTATAGTATCTCTAATCAGCTGTCCTTGGACAGCCTCATCATTGTCACCATGTCGTTCATGATTATTATTATCAGACTCTGATTGAGTTGCAAGTTCACGATCTACTTCTTCAATGAGATCCTCATTAGGATCTATGCTCATTAAGTAGTTATGAAGAATGCAACATGCTCCGATGATAAGCGTTTGAGCTTTCACTCCATAAGTAGGCTCAGATGAATTGGCTAAAATGTCAAATCTTTTTTTCAAAACTCCAAAAGCTCTTTCAACTGCATTACGTAGTGATGAATGTCGTAAATTGAACAATTCTTTATAATTTTGGGGTGGATTTCTTTCTGAATATTCTTTCAAATGATAACGGACTCCTCTATAAGGTGTAATGAGTCCACTAGTTAGCATAAAACCAGCATCCACAAGATAGTACTTGCCTTCAGGTATTTTTAGCTTATCCTCTCGTGTCAATGCATTTTTTATAATCCTAGAATCAGATGCTGTGCCTTCCCATCCAGTGAGTACATAAGTGAATTTTAAATCAAATGAACAAGCTGCTAACACATTCTGTGTTGGGAATTCTTTTCTACCACGATATCGAGGAGCATCTTTAGTAGATACCTTCACACGTATATGTGTTCCATCTACAGCACCAATACAATCCTTAAAAAAAGGATAGAACCTATCATTTGTATGGATTTCTGGAGGTATAGTTATCCCATCGGGTTGTACAATAAATTTATCGCCTACTTCAATGATGGCTCTTAACACATTATGGAGATGACGACTAATTGTCTCACCAGATCGTCGAAAAAAGAAATTTACTACTCGATTTTTTGCTTTATGGCCTAGTATGTAAAGAGTTTTTGCCACTTGTTCTTCCACGGTAGCCCATCTTGTAGGTTTTAACCCACCATCTCTTTCTAGCAAAGCACATAATGTTAGGAAAGCATTAGGAGTCATACGGATGATATTGCGACTTTTTTCATTAGTACTTAATTGACTCATTATTTCTTCACGCACCCTTTCTCGTTCTGAGCTCATACTATAACTTATCTTTCTTTTACGGCACCTCCTTTGAGTAACAAGGTAGACAAAAACAGACGTGAGTAGTGCTAGGGCTCTTTGACGCAAATTCAACCATCGACGCAAGGCTAAATTGTTTTGAAATCCCAATTCCATCTAACAAACCACATTAACATGCATCCAATTAATAAAAACCACTTGAGACATAACAAATACATTCTAAATAATCATAGATCAAAATAAATGCCAATCAAGAAGTGGATTATGATCTTAAGCATATTATGTAAATTATATTTAAATTTATACAACAAGCTTTAAAATATTCCATCCTTAATTAGATAATGTGGCAACCTCATGTGCTTTATTTCCAAAAACTAAAAATCCAAAGCTAATTTATATCAAATGAAAATATGGCAGCCATAAAAAATTTCAAATATCCATGGATGTATATACATGTGCGTGTGCTTGTGTATATACATGTACGTGTTGAAATTGTTATATATCCAAAGTCAAAAGAAAAAGTGGTCAACATCACATGTTGGACAACCATGAAAATTTTTGATTATATATATTAAATTGGAAAACGTGGCATCTGAAACTAAATCAACATATGGATATATATCGACACACAAACCAATAGCACAAAAAACAATGAATTAACATTTGTTGCACCGATTCATTCCTACGCCTCATCTCTTACTTCATACTAGCGAAAACATTAATCGGAAAATAAAAAATATGCAGAGAAAAAGAAAAAGAACTCACCAATAAATTCAAGGTCATATACAATTTAATACTCAATATTATCTGGAAAGTAAAATGCTTTTACAATTGCAAAGAATTATGGATGAAAGCATCACACCAGTTTACCTGAATGAAGACGTGGGAAGAGGTAGAAGCAGTTGGCAATACCAATGGCGGACAGAGGAGTAGACGCCAAGCAAGCGATGAGACTGGCAGAAGAATAGCGGCTGAAAAGGAAGTCAAAAAAGGGTTTTTTAATAAAAAGGGTAAACTTGCATATGTAAAAAATAATATGGGCATTTTAATCAGAATGAGGCACAATATTTCTCTCCCCTCCAAAAAACCCCAAATTGGAGGGGAGCAGAAGGAGGGGAGGGGAGCACTAAAAGACAAAAATTTTTCCCTCCCCTCCCCTCTATTTTCTGAACCAAACATAATTTTTTATCCCCTCCACTCCCCTCCCTTCCCCTCCCTTTGAAAACCTTCGAACCAAACAATGCCTAAGAAAACAAGATGGTCGAGGCCGTACGACGTGCGTCTCGTCTGATAATATACAACCTAGGCAGGCGTCTGGGCGTTGCTTGGTTTCTTCCCGGCAATTAACCCCCCAAAAAAACTAGTTATTTAATTTTTTAAAAATAATTATTTGTCCAGAGTTCACACAAAAATAATCATGCAAACTGATTGTTACTCCTTCCATTTATTATTATAAAATACATTCGATACTTATTGTATATTCTTATATATAAGAGACACTTAAAAGTTATTTCTACTTTTTTATATTGGTTTTATTTTACCTATATTTATATCTCCAACTCACACTCTCTCTCCCTCCCGCTTCTCTTTCTTTCAATAATTTAATTGTTCTCTCTTATGCTCTCTCTCCTTATTAATGAGGGCATTTTTGGAAAAAATTATATTTTTTACATATTGATTGTTCTTAACTAATTTTAACTTTTTTTTTTATTAACGTAATTGGTTATTCGTCTCTTATAATAAAGAACGGAGGGAGTATTATAATTGTTTGAAGGATCAAGAAGAAGGATAAAAAAAAAAGATAGATAATTTGAAGTTTTAAGAATTAAATATAACCCTTTGGCCAAAAAACTTTTTTTTTTGATACAGCATCTTAACTCAAACATGACTAACGGTAAAAGGAAAAAAACTCAAACACAATTAAAGACTTAGGGTGTGTTTGGCAAACACCCCAAACCATGGTTTTGGGACCCAAACCATGGTTTGGGAAAAATGTTAGCCAAACACCCTTAAAAAAATCAAAACCATGGTTTGGGTTCAAAACCATGGTTTTGACTTCAAAACTATGGTTTTGGAAAAAGCAGAAATTTTTTACTTTTGGAGAAAAAAGGAAGAGGGGGAGAGCCGATAGGAGATGGAGCTGGGTTTTTTAAGAAACGATTTTTTAAAACAGATTAAGCTTAAGCGGAGAAATGAGAGACAAGGAATAGGGATTAATGAGAGGAGCTAGATATTAGGAATATAGGTAATAAAAAAGATATTAACAATTTATTCCTTCAAATTAAAATATATCATAAAATATATTTTTTCTATAATTATCATATTAATTTATGCCAATTTGTATATACAAAAAAGTACTTCTCATAACAACTATCCAAACACTCACACTTCTCAAAATCACTTTTTCACAAAATCTATTCTTTCCAAAATCTATTTTTTTTCAGAATCTATTCTCCAGAAGCTATTCTCCAAACCATGGTTTGGTTTCATCCAAACACACCCTTAAAGTGTTATAGGATTATATCGTTAATTTAGAAATTTGTTTATTTGAGATTGTGGTATCAAAATGGAATTATTTATTTGGGGATCAGATTGTTTAAAATCAGATATTATAAACCATAACATTTACCTTGATCAAAAAAAGAAAAAATAACATTTCGTATAAAAAATACACCCCAAATAATAAAGCTGACAAATTATCATGTGTAAACTAAAATATTTTAAAAATTTTAATTGAAAATCTAAAATTGCTATTATTTAATAATTAAAATAAAAATATTTTGAAATTAGCAACTAAACTTTTTATCTCCAATATTTTTTTGCTTTTTTATTTACAATATTTTTATTATTTGGAAGGTATGATAAAATGAAAAAATATATTTTGATTCTAAAAAATTTTACGTTATCATTTGAACTTCAAAATCTGTAGTTTACCTATTAATATTAATAATTTAAATAAATTTAGTTGATCAGATCGATTTCCGATATTTTGTTAATAACAGAATGGTTTGAAGGTTTTGATTGGTAACAAACGAAGTATAAAATAAAATGAAAATGTATTATAACATAAACTAAAATATATATATATATAATTATAGTTCAGGTTGAATACAGGTGGGCTTGATATATTAAATAATTTTTTCTATCATTCAGCTGAATGATATTTTCACATAAAAGTTAAGAATGAATAATAAATTCCTCGCGCAATCTATTCTAATTCTTTATAACATACTGATGATTAAATAATTTACATGATTATATTTGAAATTTTTATTTATAATAAAATTTTCCATAATTTAAATTAAATTTCCAGTGGCCCATTTAATTTTGACCATTATTCTCCTAATATTGATAGATAGCAATTAGATAGAAAATTTTGCTGCAATTACCTTGATTTCAATAGGCGACAGTAATCCATGCAATTATTTATATGAAAATAATAAATCCGTATATAGTGCAAAACTTTATATAAAAAAAATGTAATCAAAGTTTCCATCATGATAACTGGCTTGAAGGCCATGAGACATGAAGTAATTCAATCACATGGCCCCAAAAAAAAAGAAAAAGGAATAGTTTGCCATAAAACTTGAATACAGAGGATATGAGATTAATACATTGTAGTACCTTTATACCT